GAGTTAAATTTATAGAAAAGCAATAAAAAAATGTAAAGCCAGAGGTTTCTTCAACTCTCATTTAGGGTTTGCAAATGTCTATTTTGTGACTGGAGTAATAAAAAGGCTATTTTTAAAAATCGTTTGTCTGAAACGAACAATAAATATAAGTGGGACATCGTATTAAAGACTGGAGACTTCCTTAAAAATTATTCATACTCGTGGCTGCGTTATTACAAATTAAGATAGTAATATAAGCGCTATAAAACTCAGTCACCAGAATATTTACAATTTTATCATGGATGCCTTTATATTGTGTTTTCAATTCTTTAATGCATTTTCTCGGCATTTTCACCCGTCCGGAAAGCCGGTCGGTTGGCTGCGCGTTTATTTCCGTACGTTGATCTTATTTATACTCCGCAGCAGGGGAGCGAATACTTTTTTCCCCTAAGTTTTAAAACGAGACCTGAGGCTGCGGGGGCACGGCGGGCAAGGACGGCCGTGCCGAGGAGCTTGCTGGGGTTCGCGGGGAAAGGTTGGTGAGGATGGCCGGGGGATGACGCGCTCCTGGCCAGAGGACCGGACTCCCGGTCAGCGGGCACGGTGAGCCGGCCCCGACCCGTTCGTCTCCTCGATGCGCGGCCGTCACGGCGCAGTGCGCCGCGGTGCTGAAGGGGGAACAAAATGTGCCACGCCGCACCGATTAGCCATCCTCTAACTCCACTCGCGGCGGCTGTTTGAGGGCCGCCGTTCCGCCGCCGTGGACACGCTCCTGGCTTGGCTTCGGGGCGACTGGCAACAGTCGCAACGAGGCTTCTCCCGGTCCGGGCTAAATCTGGGTCACCGCAGGCGGCAAAGGGCTCAGTGTGCGATGAGGGCGCGAGGGATTGCCCTCGCCTTCCCGGCTCGGTTCCCTTTTCTCGGCTCCTGAGGTAGGAGCAAGGAGCGGGATGCTGCATGCTTTCTGGTCCTGGAGGCTGAGTCCGGATCGGCCTCGCCGTCCCCTTGTTGTGGGAACCGTCAGTTGGGTTGTCCAGTTTGAGCCCAGGGAGTCTCAAGTGGTGGGAAACCGGCCCCGCTCCCTCTCGTCCCAGCTCGGCCTCGAAGCTAAAGCCCGTCGGGCGGGTGCACGAGGCAGTGTGTCCGAGACGAGTACTAGGGGGTTACCAAGGCTCCGTGGGCCCGGGCCAGGCGTGGGATGAGTTGGGACCGCCCGCGCCCCTCGCTATGAGCCGCGCTCGTTATGCGCCCGCGGAAGGTGGCACACACAAGTGGGAGCAAGGTCTGGGCCGTTCTCATCGGAAACCGATGGAGAGCCCCGCCGCCGCTCCGGACCACCGTTCGTGCCGACTCCCTGGTGCCACCTTCTCCGCCGGGCTGCAGCCCGCCTGGCAGGGGGGAAAGAAGCCTAGCCGGAGGGTACCCGGCGGAACGGAACGGGTGGGCTGTAATACCCCACCGTGGCCAGAGGGGCTCAGGGGGCTTTCCTGCTTCTTTTAAATTTAAGCCGCGCTTAACCTTCTCTCGACCCTCTTTTGAAGGTCATCTGTATCTCTGGGACAGTCGCTCTAGGCTTGCCGTTCACCCCGTTATAGGAAAGTTGAAGCGGTTATTAGCACGCGACACCAGCAAGCAAGAGCAAGGGAAAGGGACGGGGGCGAAGGTGCATTCGGTATGCACAGAAACGGAGTTTGCAGACGACTTTCTCATTGGCGTCTGTAATTTTTCTTCAGTTGATAATGCTTGACTGACTAGCCGCCGTCAGCTACCTGCTGTCAGTTTTACATGTCACGTCTCCTTAGGGTGAAGCGATTAAGCTCACTTGAGGGGGGGCGGGAAGAAGCGGTTAATGATATAAATATGTTTTCCTTAGTGACCGCTCCTATGGGTCCCTGCTGGGAAGTTACAGAAAACCGTGTCTTTGAAGGAAAAAGGATGCTGTGGATATTTTACTCTCTGGTGGCACCCGGTTTCAATGTTCGAAAAGATTTGCAGAAATCACACTGTGAATGACAAAACATGGCCACAATCATCCCTTTAATGTCACTCGAAATTTTCGAAAGAAAGGCAGGAAAACACCTTTCTGGTGAAAAACAGTATTTCTTTCCCCTGGAAGTCTAAATATGTGATTGTCCTCCGTCAAATAAGCAGCACCTCACCCAATCGCCTTAAAATCCGGAGCGCATTTTAAGGTCCAGAAATAAAAGTAACCCCAGAAAGGTGTTTTGGATACATATATTACTCCATTAGCAGATCATTATATAGAGAGATTCTTCTCTCTTTCATCATCCCATAAAAAAATTAATCGGACAGACATATGGATCACAGGTTGTTCGATAAATTTAAATCCAAACAGTTATTTTAAAAAGTCAAGAAATGAAAACACCATGCCACACAGCAACCTACAGAAATCTAGCGAGGAGGAAAAAAATCAACAAGCTCCCGCCCTCTAGAAACAAAAACAATACGTGCGATCTGTCCCTCTGCCGTAGGGCGGGCAGGCTGCGCGCACCCCGCGGTGCGGCGCGGTGGGGTGCGGAGCGGTGCGGAGCAAAGGGTCAGGGTCTCCTCGGCGGGAACGCGCGGCAGCTGGTTCTAAGGGGAGGGAAAAGAATAAAAACTGGGCAAGATCAGCAACTCCGTGCCCAGAGGCTTCTCCGGGACCCCCGCGGCAGCCCCGCCGCTTCTTTCCCGTCCCCGCCGGCGTTGTGCCGAGCCGCAGAGAGCCCGGCGGAGGAGGGGGGCAACTCGCCCCTGCACCGGCAGGTCCCTGCGGCGGCTCGGGGCTTGCCCCGCTCTCCGGGCCCGCGCCGCATTTCTCCAGACGCGCAGCCTCGCCCCAAAGCCCCCGCGCCCCCGCCACCCGCAAGCCGGGCCCCGCCGCCGCGGAGCGCGCCCTCCTCCTCCCGCGCTCCTCCGCGCCGCCCCGGGCTGCGGCGGCGGAGTTGGTACCTGCTCCCGCGGGCCCCGCCGGGGCCGTCGCACCGCGGGCGGTGTGGCGTGTGGCCCGGCGGCCGCGGTCGCTAGGAGAGCGGAGCGGGGCGGCGGAAGGTGCCGTCGGAGATGGCGAGGAGGCTGCCGGAGCGCTCTCGGACATATAACATCCATTTCCTTCCTTCCTCTCCCCTATCGATCTCATCCCCACCGCGACGGCGTTTAAACTCTTGCAAGATTCTCTAGCTTAGCACGTTTCGATCACTCTTGCACATCTGATTTCCTTCAGATTCAATCACGGCTGGAATAGGCAGAGCAGACAGACTTTAGACCACGGAACACTTAATATGTCCCAGATTTAATGTAAAGATAAACTAACTCCGCAGCACTGTTCGTCGGTGACAGGCATTAAGCATTTTTTTCTCCCCTATCAATTCAGAGCGACAGCCACTGCAGGGGAATTTTTTTCATGGTGACGAATCTTAGACAAGTTGCCATCTCTTCCAATGTGGAGAGCGTTAGTGTTCCTACTGCGGTTTCGTTTTTGTTTTGTTTTATTTTTTCTTTAATTAATTATCTTTCTGTCACATACCTAATTTTTTCAGGTCTGGAAAGCACATTTACAATTTTAACGCTGATAACCTTATTTGAAGGGATAATTTTTCTCTAGGGAGTATTTATTAGTGAGCCCATTCCTCACATTCTCTGACGAAACAGCTATTGAAATTAGGAACAAAATTGCATTTTACGGGTAGGTAAAATGCGATAGTGGAAACGCTTATGTCTCCTAAATGGCAGCTATTTCCGTTTTAGATTACGATCAGAAATCTCAGCTGTGCCACTCGACGGCCCGAACAGGACCTCCAAGGCTGTGACACAGACGAACCACACCACGAATTTCCTTCTCTCTGTTGCCCAAAACAGTGAAGTGAGTTTGAGATCCCAGTCCCCTAACAGTGAAATTTGCCCCATTTTTTTTTTTACAGTTGGAGAGTTTCTCTTCTGTTTCTTTCAACGGAGCACCTCACTCCATTTATTTCTGAGGGAAAAAAAAAAAAAAAGAAAAAAATGCCTCAACAAGAGAAGAAAAAAAAAAGAAAACACAACAAAAATCTCAAAACCTTTTTTCATTTCCCTGAACACGCAAAGAAAAGAATATCTGTTCCCAAACCTTTAATAGTTTTACTCACTGGAAAGATACGAAAGAGTTTTCCCCGTAACTATTCTATGCACCTGAATATAATTATTATTAAAGTTGCTGTGGCTGGATGCATCTATGTTCATACAAGGTTCAGCTTAATTCTTGTTTTATTGCAGCCTCGGCGATAATGGGTTGGGTTTAGAGTGGGTTGTGGATGCTACGCTAGAACCTCTCTGCAGCCAGAGTTTGAATAACAACGCGATGAATCTCCGAGCGCACAGCCGAGTAACACCAATAATTCCTAATCCTTAACGCAAGACAGGGCACAACGTCATTTTTGAACGTCCGAACGGTTTTCCCGACCGAGACACTGCGCTCCAGGAGAGCTTCCCTTCCCTCTGAGTTTCGGGGGGAGACGCGAATGGGGGGGGGGTGGGGGTGTCTCATTAACGTTCATTGCGGGGCGCATCTGCCGCGGGATGGGGGCACGGGGCTGTTTCGGCCTGGGCGGAGGCGGGCGCGGGACGGTGGGGCACCCCCCCTTCACCGCCCGGCCGCCGCGGCGGGGCCCCCTGGAAGGGCGGCGGGGCCGGGGCGGCGGGGCCGGCGCGGCGCTGATTGGGCTGCGGGCGGCCCGGCCGCACCGCCCCCGCACCGCGGCTCCGCCCGGCCCCCGCCGCCGCAGTGACACTAATGAGCGAGTTCTTCCCACAGGTCTCCTGCCTGGAAGTGCTGACAGATCAAGGCAACAAATTTCAATTACAAGCCCTAATTTGTGTCCGCAGAGCGTTTGTTACCCATGTCAGTCCTGCCTGCCCCATCAGACAGGGCAGAACGTGGAGGAGGAGAAGGAGGAGGAGGAGGGGGAGAGAAGGAACGCATCTGCAGAAAGGAATAGATTTTTTTTCCACTTTAAAAAAACCCCAAAACAACCCCCCCTCAAAAAAAAAAACTTGGCTGATAACTCGGATTTAAAAAGAAAGGCGAGGAAAAGTCCCAGCCCCTTGCCTGCGCGGTCAGGAGGAAGGGAGGGCGGCCGGCGCGGCGGGCCGGGCGCGGGTGCCGGTGTCGGCGGCCGCGGGGCGCCTGGATGCGCGGGCTGTAGGGTGTCGGGCATGGCCGACAAGCGGCGGTCCTCGCCAGGCACCACCATGAGCCTCAAGGCTCACGCCTTCTCCGTGGAGGCTCTCATCGGGGCCGAGAAACAGCAACAGCAGCAGCCGCAGCAGCCGCCGCGGCAGCCCAAGCGGCGGAAACTGGGCGGCGAAGACGAGGCGGCGGAGGACGAAGGGGGCAGCGGCTGCTGCGCCAAGAGCTCCCCCGCCGCTGCCGCTGGCAGGACCTGCGGCGACATGGACCTGGGCTGCGGTGCCCGCGCCCCCGCCGGTGAGTGCCGCCCCGCGCCCCGCCGCTGCCCGCGCCCCCGCTCCTCGGCTGGGCTGGGACTCCCCTTCCCCAGACGCTACTGCCGCTCTGATTCCCCGTTATTCCTTCTGTCTTTCCACGCTGCATGGGCGCCCGCCACCCCTCCCGCCGGCGCTGGCGGTGGGAGCCCGCGGCGCTCCTCGGCCCCTGCACGGAGCAGGGCGGCTGCCGGCGGGGCTGTGGGTGCCGCAGCGCGGGGCAGCGACGGCGGCGGGGCCTGTTTCCCAGGGAAGGAAAAAGCGCTTATACAGTACATAAATGTATGTGTGCTGCTAAGAGTGCATATGCAACTACGTATATAACTATGTATGCATATACATATATATACACACACACACGACGCACATATATGTGCGTGCAAATAACTGTGTGTGGAGGGGAGCGCCGTTTCACGCTGCGGGGGCAGAAGTCCGTGGCCAAACGAAATGCGTCGCCGGCTCCGCACCGCGGACTCGCTGCCGCCCGCCTCGGCCCGGGCCGGGAGTGGCTCGTCCCCGAGCTGAGCGTCGGGGACCCTCCGGCAGCGCGGCCGTCCTGGGGCGGCCCCGGCACTCGGGTCAACCCCCGCCCCGGATCCAAGGATGCGGCCCGGGCCCGCTCCGGCGTACTCGGTCGCTGCCGCGGGGCGCGGCCTCGGGTCGGCCGGGGCTGAAGGGAGCCTCCTGGTCGCGAGGTCCGCGCTCCCCCGACCCTCTCGCTTCCTCCGCTCTCTCCGCAGGCGGCTGCGAGGAGGGTTTCCTGGCGGCCTCCCCGCCCGCCTCCCCCGGCGGCTCCCCCAAGGGCTCGAGGCCCGGGTCGCCGCTGCCCACGCCGCAGGCGCCGCGGGTGGACCTGCAGGGCGCCGAGCTCTGGAAGCGCTTCCACGAGATCGGCACCGAGATGATCATCACCAAGGCCGGAAGGTAACGGGCACCGCGGGGCCGCCACCCGCGCTCTCCCGGGGCGGGCGGGCACATCAAAGCGGGCGAAAACCGGGGGAACCCCCAGATTTACGAGGCAGGTAGATGGCGATAATATTGGATGGGCACGGGAGCATGCGGCGTTTCGGGTTTCCTGTTCATTAGGGCGAGGTCTGGGAGTGTCGTGCCCTTCTGGGGGGAAGCTTTTTCCGTTTCCAGGGGATACACATGGTAAAAACCTGGGTAGTATAAAAGTATCTGAACTTATTAGAAATTAGAAAAACATATTTTATTGAATCCATATGCTACCGTCTACATTTTCAGAGAGGCTTTATTAATGATTGAAACGCATTCTTAAACAGCACAAAGCAACATTTGTCTTAAGAGAGTCCAGTCGGAGATTTTCTGTTTTATCTTACAGGTGCACTGAAATAACAGCAAAAAACAGTTAACCACAGTCAGGTTTTTACCCTCCTACTTGTTCAGAAATGACGGAGATAAGATTTTTGTTTCCAGTAACGACTTTTAATTGATTTTTATAGATATGTGTATACATATATATATATTTTAGGACAGCAGCAAATACTAAATAAACTGGAATAGTTTTCATGTTTATAAAATACAGAAAATTATTTTATTAGCTTGCAGTCAGGTAGTCAGCTCATCAGTAGGATATTGTTGTTTTTTTAAATTTGACTTCAAGAATGAAGTTTTCTGATAAAAGGCATGCCAAACTAAGAAGGGCATTTTTATGTTAAAATCACCTCATTGGTTAATTAATCCATTTTCTCCAAAGAAGGGTCTAAATCTTCAACGTTTGGGTTGTGATCTTTTTTGTTTTGTTTTAGTGTTGCTTTGGGAGGTTTCTGGTGGTGGTGGGGAGTTAGTTGTTTTTTTTTTTCCCTCCCAGAAATGAGCTCGTAGTTTCGTTTCTGCTTTCAATAAAGAAGTTTTACTATACCTTTCAAAGACAGAGTAGCTCTCGCACTTCACCTTTAGTAAGTTGCAGACAGGAAGTCCCGTCTCAATAAAGACCATATTGTTGGGTTACGGCATGGCACATTGGCTTTTATAACTGCATCCTTGCGGTGTCATAATTGTATCACCGTGGATTTAGCTTTCTAATTTGCTGATATTAGAACGATTCACCATTTTCTACTATGAGTTGAATCTTCAGTGGCAATTTGCCTTTCTGTACGACTTGGTCTTCCTGAGTGGAGGTGGTGTTTGCGTATCTCCAGGAATACATTTCTAACTAATATCTCAAACGGGCTTTAAATGCGTGTACTGCTAAGGTAAAGTCTCAAAACCAAATGATTTACTGTCTAACAATAAAGTTGAAATGATGTGGTAATAGCTCTACTCCCAAAGCGTATCCCCAAACATACGAAGCATTGTTCCAGTAAATGCACTTTAGAAATCTGTTTTGACATATCGAATGGGCCATTTCATGGCTATGTAACTATAATCGTCCAAAAGGACTCTGTAGGCTAAAAGGAAGAACGAGAAAAATCCCACGAAGCGGTTACTTTTCCTAAACAACCATTCCCGAGTCTGTTTCGTATTAAAAATGACCTCTCTCTCTTTCCATGTTCAGGCGGATGTTTCCCGCGATGAGAGTGAAGATCTCAGGTTTAGACCCACATCAGCAGTATTATATTGCTATGGATATTGTGCCAGTGGATAACAAAAGATACAGGTATGGTGACTTTCAGGCAAAAGATATCTGATGCAAGCCGTAGGGAGCAAATAGGGAAGAAAATGTTAACACGGTATAAATTAGCAAAAGATCATGTTTAACTCTCTGTAAAGATTTCTATTTTCATCCTAGTGCATTTAAAAAAAAAACACAAAACCATTGTGCCAAGTGTGCAAAAGCAACTAAGATTTCTGTTGAAGCTCTTTACGATATATTTGCCTCACATTGTGTATGTACTGTTGGCAGATGCTTGGGTTTTGGCTCTCAAAGTGCAGTTCTAGTGTGGTCAGGAAATGTTACCATATTATATTCCTCATTCTGTTAGTGGGAATTATTTTCTATTAACAAATAAATAAGAAAATGTACGTTTTCTAGTGTTCATTGGCATTAACATTAATAATATTAATGTTAGTATGTTAATATGGAGGTCTGATTTAACTACGTATAAGTTTTCTTTGTCATACTTGAAATTGATTATATAATTTAATTTAAAAGTTATTTATCACTGAGATATTTGGTTCCTTAGATTAAAAAAGGGTAATGTTTCTAATTACTGTTTTTTAAAGAATTAATGGTATTATTGTCTGAAAAATAATGTGAGGAACCAAAGAGGTTGTTCTTCAAACATTTAGGAGTAGGAAGAGCTGAAACTCTCACTGTTTCGACGGTAGTCTTTTGAGGGAGCTAGTTAGACACTGCAGAAACCTCTGGTACTGTAGAAGTGCTTGCAGGATTGAGCCCGCAGCAGTTACTGTTGTGAGTTGAAGTTGTTTCGTAGGTGTTGCTTCACAAATGCAATCCCATAGTAGCCAGAGGGAGCCTGGCCAAAGTAGTTCAGCGGAGACAGGATCAGGTCTTTACCAATTGCTGGTTTGATTGTTTTAACCTATACTTAGTATAATGTAGGGAAAACCACTGCAGATTTAATTGTAGAACTAGAAATATTTCAGACCAAGACTAAAAGGTTGGTTCTGCAGGAATGCTGCTTTGTTTCCTAACCAAACACTGCCCTGTGTTTTTCCTGTACTTAACTCATTGACTTCTATTTTGTTATTTTCTCGTGTGGTGTATAAGATCTTTCTTAGGACCGTTTTAGATTTTATGTCTTTCAAAAAGGGACAGATAGCAGTGCTAAGGATGCCCAGCATATACAGTTAGGGGAGACTTTACTGACTGTACCATAGAGGAAGAATGCCTTTTTTCTTTGGACCAATGCAGTACAGTTCAAATGAAAATCTTTTCTTGCCTTGTGTTGCATGTGTGCATTTACTTAACAATCTAAACATATAATTCCTAGAAGGTCTGAGCAATTCCTAAATTCACAGAAAAAACAATGTAATAATTTCAAATTAATTAAAATGTTAATATTAAAAATTAAAAGCAGTTATATTGAATATGAGTTATTTAAACCTAATTTCATTTAAAATAATTACAGTCATAATGACCTGCACTGTCTGCCCAGTATGATACGTGGTGCTCAGCTGAAGTAACTTAACAAGAGTTGTATGAAGGGCAGTATTTTCTTAGTTGACAGATATAAATTTCTGTAGTTATGTAGTAACCACACTTTTAGCTATTTTGCTAAATATTAATATTTTACAATTTTACTTGATGTAAAGTTCATTCTTTGCTGTGCTTTTTATTACTGACTGTTAGTTTATCTCTGGCTGTTTGTGCGGCTTCACAAACTGTCTTGCAAATTTTTAAATTTCATAGACATGACAGCAGTTACATAGAGCCTAGTCTTTAGCTGACGGAGCAGATATCAAAACTAAATGTAAATGAAGAAAATTATATCTAGGTACAGATTTCTAGGAAAACTGGACCTTGTAAATACTTGGAAGCTTAAGTTGTTGCTCAAAATGTTTTATGTGTATTTATAACTTTATTTACTTTTGTGGGGAAAGCATATAAACCAAGAAATACAAAATAAATGGAAAATGTTATAACAGTGATCTGGGGCTGAGAATTTGTCCCCAGGAGAGAATTTCACCACCATTCCAGATCTTAGTTATGCAGTTTGATCTGAATTGTATGAACCGATACGTGCATTGGATCACTCAGTTTTTTGTTCCGATTATGTTGTTTTTCTAATAAAGAGCTGAATTGTACAAATATATTTGATAAAGTCTTTCTTGTTTTTATTAAAAATATAGCTGAATTACTGGAATTTTACTGTACTTGAATAAAATGACTTTCAGTTAGTGCTTTTTAAATTGCTCCGCGAAATGTCCGCCTTCAAAATAGATCTTCTACCAAAGTAGACGCTATTTTTACTATAAAATTACTTTGTCAGCATTGGCCTATCAAATGAAATACAGACTCTTGTGTTTTCATTTTTAAGCCTTTATGCAATACTATTCAAGCCAATTAAGATGGTCTGTGGAAATATCAGGAGCATAGTTTGACATACTTTCATTATTTTTCCCAATCATAGTGTTCTTTCCCTTCAATGGCTTTATTTATAGACTCTTATATTAGACTCAACATGTTAAATCTTCCAAATATGGAATTACTACTCGATTTGATAAATGAAGGACCAGATTCTTCCCTCTTTGCTGATGCCTATTCAGAGCAGAGCTGTAGCAATCAATGAACTGACACCAGCTTAAAGCTCAGTGTGGAGTATTAAGACTGATTGATTTTAGGAAGACTTAGGTCAAATCAGAGCATGGTTTTTAACCTCGTTTTTGCAGGTGCCAGAACTATGTTTTGAAACTAAAAAAATTACTTTTATTTACGTAGAATTATGTCCTTTCATGTTTTGATAATTGATGGGTTCTTGCTGTATGCAAGGGCCCTAATGTATTAATACTGAATGGATCTGATGAATTATTTTGTGGTTATAGGTATTTGTTTTCCTTTTGTAGGTATGTTTATCATAGCTCCAAGTGGATGGTCGCTGGTAATGCTGACTCCCCAGTACCGCCTCGCGTTTATATTCATCCTGATTCACCCGCTTCTGGGGAGACATGGATGAGACAAGTGATCAGCTTTGACAAACTGAAGCTTACCAATAACGAGCTGGATGATCAAGGGCATGTGAGTACTTGCTCTTCTGCAGTATTATATGTAGGCGCATTGCTCAGCCCTGAAAGGCTCTGACGTACAGCTTCAGGGTGCCAGAAATAGGCTTGACTTTTCGAAGTTATTTTGGAATTTTACTGTCCAGGTCTAAAATCTGCTTACTTTCTGCTCCGATAATTAACTGCTTATTAGACCCTGCTGTTTTACTCCCCCGCCCTCAAAAACAGAACTCCTTCTGCACAGTAAGACTTTACAAGGTTAAATTGCCTAATACAAAGGGGCAGAATTGCTCTCATGTTTTCCCACCGAGCGTGTTACTTGCAACTTCTGCTCTGATCGAAAAGGACGCTTAAATTCACAAGTGGCTAGAAGAAACATTAATAGTGTGTAATAACTTCACATGAATAAAAATACACTTAAGTATTTTCTTAACCTAAACATTTGTGTGAAATCCCACGAGGTGTTAATAATTGCAGTCAAAAACGAACAACATGGGAGCTGGGTTTGCTCCGATGATGATTTATTACATACCTTATGAAGCAAGACCCTTTCACAGCTGAGGCTCATTACTTCTGAAAAAACTGGCGAAGACGTATGCAGTATGAGTGTTCTGTTTGCAAGTTCTAAATTGTTTAGTTATGACATTATCTAATGTGACAAAATGTGTTATGTTAATATTTCCTTTTCTCTTCAAAACTGTTGAAACATGACAGATGTAAGCCAGTATCATTCCAGCAATCCCTAAAATAGTTTTACTTGACACCTTAAGAAATAATTAAAAAAGGAGAATTGTTTTTAGTCAGGATGAAGTCTTTGATTTTACAAACTCCCATAATAAATGGCAAATGTTGGCATCCTTTCAGAAGGAGCATCAAGTTCCAAATGGTAGAGTTTTAAGATGTTGGAGGCAAGTTTCGAGACAGGATGTGGATTCCATTGTCCTTAGCATAACCCGATTTATTAACCAGGATAGTTTCTGCTTCAGGGAAGGGAGTGAAAGAAAACGTACCTGGAACAGAGTACAAAGATACATGCATCTTTTTGTATAGCTGTAACTCTGTGACACTGAACCAGGTATTTTGTTAATGCATAGTCTAAGTTTAAGTATGAGATTTTTTTCCCCCATTTGTGTTTGCCAATGAGATTAACAAAGGCAGGAATATAAGAGAGTGGCTGAGCTGAGGTAGCAAATACGATAACAAAGATAAAAAGCCTTCCATTTGTATAATAATATTCATAATTTTATTTTATTCTTCCTTCAAAGAAATGTGGGGGTATTCATGTCTCTTATGTTAGCAGTGCTTTTCTTTAGGCTAATAAGAAAGATGTTTTATATTGCTTCTTTCCAGAATTACAATTAGGGAGTGTTATTTGGCAGTGTCCATTTGAGTCAGGATTAGCACACTAAGTTCCCTTAGTTTCCCCATCATTTGTGTATTTGTGACTCCTCTTGAGTGGGAGTTGCTTTCTCTGAGTCGTGAGTCTATTATAAGGGCTCTAAAAGTGAAGTGGATGCAAATGGGTAAAGTGTTGCTTTTCCACCAGTGAGCAGGCCAGCTGGTTTGTGTACTGCCTCATTTCAGAAGGGAGATACATGGGTACTGTGGCCTACCCATGCAATTGCAGTTGCAAACTGCCCTATGATGAAATCTTAGCTATGCAGAGAATTGTATTACTGTATTTTTCCATTCTAGATTTTAGCTTTGTTTTTGTTCTGAACTGAAACCTGTGTAGTGTATGCAGCACACCATTATTCATAATATGAGGGGATATAAATTTTCTGGTCTTTAGTTAAGTATTTCGACTTGGAAATGAGTGAAGCAAAACCCGAGTGCAGCGATTTGAGACACATTGAACTGATTCAGAGCTATGGCAGTGTCCCTCCTTCCCAAAGTAGAAATTTAAGTATTAAAATAAAAGGACAAAAGAAGGATGACTGTAAAATAATTTCATATTTCTCAAATCTGGGAAATTGCAAACATGTCATTCATAATTACCAGAAAAGGCAAAAGCAGAAAGCAGAAAAGTGTCTTTTCCAATGGGTACATTTTTTCTTTTAAAGCTATGGCAGTGTGGAATGCTGTATTGAAAAAGCTGTGTAGCCTCTGAATGCCTCTGGCAATAATGGAAAACGAATAATCATATTTTGTGATGAACATGAAAAGCAATTGTTTCTCATAAGCAGGAAGGAACCATTTCTCTCAAGAGGCTACCAGGGGAGGGATGAGGAATTAGAAGAACCAGGGGTCAAGGCTCTACTGCCCCTCCAATATTTGTTCTTACATCAAGTGTTCTGACTCTTCCACTCCTGTATGGGACACGAAGTATATTTTATATTATTAGAAAGTGAGTTTTCTCCTCTCCTACTTAGGCAGAGTGGCTCAGAGAAACCTTGGCGGGGTCTCTACCAAGCAGTGTTGGGCTTTAGTTCTTTGGGTGTGCTTTCCCTGCTCTCTGGTTCTGGTAATTTAATCCTTGCTGAAATTGTTCCTTTACTCTTCCTGTGCTCCTCAAAGGCATAAACCTTTGCAGAATTTTTGTGTTAAAATCCATGGGGTAGGTTTTGGTCTTGTAGGGAGCTTGCATGACAACAATCCAGAGCCTTTTTACCTATGTTAGAGTATTAACTGTCAGAATCTGTGAGAGAAGTGTGGGAATGGGGACAGTATTTGCAAACAGGCACTGAGTAGTATTCTTAAGCAATATTTATGTTGTGGTAGTAGTTCCAGGTGGCCAGCTGCCCTTGCAGTGTATTGCTCGGAGGTTAGCATCTTGTGAAAGGAGATCAGCCATCTCTAAGATGACTTGCTTTGCTGCTCAAGTGCTTTCCAGTCTCCTTGTTGCCTGCTGCTGTTTTCAACGGTATTTTGAGTGGGAGTTTGTGCGGATGCAATTTTATAGCTCTGTTTTGAGGAGAGATTTTGAAGTACATCTGCATATAGGACACTGATATATGGGTTTCACTTGCAGGCTTGAGAAGATCAAGCAAAATTTGTAAGGATGTGTTTTCCTTGTGTGTTTTTGATCTCAAAAGAAAGTTCCAGGGTGAATTCCCTACTTTGGAAATACTGTGTTCTTATAGAGACATTAAGACACACACTGTGGCTTTTGTGTCTTTCATCTAAATAGTGATGGTAAGGAAAAGTAAAGCTGGATTTTGCAGTTGTCACTGAGAAGTGGAGTAGTGCATGGTCTGGATGCTCTTTTTTAATGCCTTTCATCCCTCTCTCATTTGTGGACTAAGTGCTGCATTGTAAAAGCAGTCTCTCCCTCCGGCTGGTTAGAGCTGGCTGATTTTTCTGTTTCAATGCAGTTTTTAATCTGAATTTCAGTAGAGGGGAAAAGTCAATATTTTTTATGCTATTTTCCATGCTTTTCAACTGAGTATTTTTTGATGCAGAGGAACATCTTTTAACTTCTAGTGAAAATGAGGCTGTTAGCGTGTTAATTGTTCCTTGGTGGTTGGGGTGGTTTTTTTTCCCCATTTGAAAGTGGGGCGAGGCTGGAAGCAGAGGCGGACTGTTACTCTGCCCAGACTTGGCTCCAAGTAGTGAGCTCTGCTTACAGTCAGTGGGTAGTTATATATTCTTGTCACAATGAAAAGCTGTGAAACATCAGCATTTGCACTTGCAGATTTTGTCCTAGTCAAGAGGAAATCCATACTCCTCAGCCCCACACTTCCGTGACTGCAGAAAGCCTGATTGCATGTGCTTTGGAGAGAGGATGAAAGAGGATTTTTAGTAAAACCAGCAGCAAGGACCACACTGGTGGTGGGGAGGTAACTGTGTAGTCTTGGCACTGTCAAGCTGCCTGAGGATTGGCATCTCCCCTGTGAAGGAGCATTCGGCTCTCACTTGTTCTGGCTGTGATGGTTGTGCTCATGGTCAGATCTGAGGCCTCATCGTGGCAGCAGCTCTCAAAAACCATGTTGCAAAGGTAATCCCAGCTTTGTGCGTGTACAGGTGCTTTTGGTCACCTTTGCTCTGCCACCTACCTGTGGTCTTCCTGCTGCGGCATTTTCCGTCTGATAATGATTTCTTGGCAGCTGCTGTGGCCAAAGTTTAATTTTACTTTTGGTGGGAGAGGTTTATTTCCCCATGAAGTTTTTTTTGGTCTTGCCCTGTGAGGGGTTTATAGAGAGAGGCAGGCTTTTCAACTGTGAGTTGAAAGTAATGCCAGTTCATGTTTGGGAACACAGTGGGTCTTCTGATTGGTGTTTTTGTTATTGGATTTTAAGGCTATGAAGGGAAAGTTGCTGTTTCTGAAGCTAAACTGTTAGATCCCGTTTTTGCTTTTAAATGTGCAAGCACTGTGAAATGAAAAACCGGAATCTCCTTTTCCTTAGCTTTTTCTTTGCAGTAGCTTAGGTGATGCTTAGAATAATACAACTAAACTGTTTTCGGAGTGGATGTTTCATCTCCCTCTCCTTTTATGTCATATCTTTGTAGTGTTGCTCTTTAATTCACCAGGGCTTTGCAATTATGTATTATTTATTTAGAATTCAGAGTCCTTCTGATCATTAACAAAGATTCCATCATTATAAGGCATAGTACAAAATCAATTAAAAAAATTTATTGCTTTGGATTTGCTAGCTGCCAGCAGTGTGTCAGTGCAGGAAATTTTAGTATAGGACAGAGGCCAGACAGGTTGCTCTTAAGAGATGCCACAGATCAGTTTAGCTGTAATAGCCACCCAGATAAGCAGTGGGAGGTGTTCCTCTCCATGCTTCTTTGATTTCCCTTGTTCAGCTACATGAGCAGAGCTGTTTGTAGCTGCCAGGGTTATCACTGCTGTGTGGGCAAGTGGTGGTTTGCACCACAGAGCTGATGGGGTCAATCAGTTTGTGTGGGAGCAGAACATGGCATGCTCAGTGGCACCTAGGCGAATGGCAAGGCAAATAGCAGTGGGTTTGAACAGTGAAATGCCTTTCGTTGATCATTTCTTTTTCTGTTGCACCAGTATCTCCCATGGTATCATTGGATATTCATAGGAAAACAGGGTCAGGAATGTCCTGTCCTCTCTGCATTTTCATTTTGTAGATATTTGCCAGTGGAGAGTTGAAATGAGTGTTGTAAAAGAGAATACACGTTTGCACGATAAAAAAATCTCACTCTGTTCAAGATTTCAGAAACTGGAAAAAGGCTTCGTATGAGAACATCCATAGGGCACTCCCTGAGCAAATTAATTGGAGCCTGTGATGTCATTTTCAAAACCTTACTCACAGGCTAATAAAACCCCCGATTATGCAGAAACTTGGCTTATCCAAAACAGGGTCATGTCATCTGGCCAGGACCAAATATATTAAACTGGCCAAACTCTAGTTTATCCAAATAAATGTAATGTCCTCTATATCATTTGGATGAATGAACTTCCATGGTGTCTAGCATAGAGGCTCTGTTGAGTACTTGTGCACACGCACATTCTGAGGCTACTCAAGGAGCAGGAAATTAAAAAGCTTCCCCAGAATGTTGATTAGAATGTGGTTCCACAGGCCAATAGCCATAGGACTATTTATTTATTGAGTTACTAATTTCTTAAGGCTTCCAACAATAATAGTTGAACTTCCAATTTATTTTTTTTCTTGAGATCTTCTATTTTAATAGTGGTTAGCCGAAGCGGAGTAAAATAGAGGAAAAATTCTGTATTTTAAATCTCCTCTAAAATTTAGGTGCAGTACCAAAAGGTTTTTTTGTGTTTAATTTTATGCATTATGAGTTCATATACTTCTATAATTTATTTTTGATTTTTTGTATGCTGGGAGGGGTTTGTTAATGGATATTCATTGTCTGTATTATCAATCTAGTTGTTATTAACACTTTAGGGGTTTGGATTTTGGTATCATTTTACTCTCAAGTTTATGCTTCTTCAGAATGTGAGAGTCTCAGCTTGTGTTCCAGACAAGATTTGTTTCTAGCCTTTGGAATACAAGGAGAAAATATTGCTCCACTAGCATATCCCAAAGGTTTCAAAAACAAAAGGCAAATTTCTGCTGCTGTTAATCTGTTAGATCAAATTCAGACTTCAGTGGAAAAAAGTGACAAAACTTTGATAATTCCAGTGGGACCTGGACTTCACTCTGGGTTTGTCTTTTTTTTCTTTCTTTTTTTTTTTTGAGTCAGTTTCAATTAAGCCAGTCTCTGAATTTGGAGCTCCTGAGTCGTAATTTTTAAATGCTTGGGGTTGGCAATAACATAAATGCACAGGGATTAGACTACTGTAATAAGAACCTTCAGAGGTAAAAGAAAACATTTCATTTCCAGTAAGTGGCATGGTAAACACATACCATTAATCTGTTCCAAAAAGCTATTAGTCTTGTAACAGCAGGGCGTCCTTTCTAATAAATGTTATCTTTTTCCTTTCACGACTGCATAGATTATCCTTCACTCTATGCATAAATATCAGCCTCGTGTCCATGTCATCCGAAAAGATTGTGGTGATGATCTGTCCCCTGTCAAGCCTATCCCTTCAGGAGAAGGGGTGAAAGCCTTCTCCTTTCCAGAGACAGTTTTCACTACTGTCACAGCATACCAAAATCAACAGGTAATTTGGGCTATCTGCTTGGCACTTTACAGGCTTTTCAGAGTAGACCAGGGACATAAGAGATAGGAGAAAAGCAGATACTTTCATTATACTACTTATTAAAATAAAGTTGTGTAAACATTTTTTGTGCTGCAAGCAGCTTTCACTGGTAGCATTGCAGCAGCGCCTGGAGGCTATAGCTGAGACTTGAGGCCACATGGGCTAGATGCTGTATGTAAAAAATCATTGTTATTATGGGGATCACACAGTCTAATTATCATGTCTAATGGTGTCTTAATTATAAATACAGCACTGAAGAACAAGGCAAAGAGCAGTGTAATTTTTAAAGGGGTTTCTGTACCTTTAAGTGTAGATACATGTCTGGATAGAACTTTTAAAGCACTTTTATTCCTGACTCCAGTGCTTTCAAAACTCCCAGGTCCTTAACAGAGGTCTAAAGAAGGTTGCAGTCATTTTCATTAACTGCATTCAGCTTATATTATTAATGACAATTTATCTGGGTCCAAAGTAAACTGCAGGTTGCATCACTCCAATGTTTGGCTCTTATTACCACTTGTTTAAGTGTTAGCATACATAGTGACATCATAGTTAGTGTTGTGACATTTTATTAATTCCATGTAAGTTACTGCAGCTGTATTTTTTGAAATTATATATACATTGATATCTTTACAAATGGAAGAGTAGGAGAACTGTGTAATTACTGAAATATAATTATTTGGTGCCTTTCTGATTTTTTTCAAATAAATTACAAGTATTTGGAGTAGGGAGTGTTTTGCTGGGATATTTTTGTTTGTTTGGGTGTGGGGGGGTGGTGTTGGTGGTGGTGTTGGTTTTGGTTTTGGGGTTTTTTTGTGGAGGATAGTAACCTAGAGATAATCTGTTTTTTCACATTTTCTTCTTGACCCGTACAGAAATAAAATTTAGTTTAAATTTTATTGCAGTTATTCAGTATACTCTCTTGGGTGAAGAATGACATTTACCGGAAGATTTTGCTCAATAGTTCCAGCCTGCCACTTGGCAGCATTAAATACGTGTTAGTTTCTCTGGGGATCTGCAAAAGTAGTGATCAGAAAATTGGACCTTATTTTGCTATGTTTCAGGACAACCATCTTAAACCATGCAAATGTGAAGATGTTTCTACTGTCAGCTTAATTCTTTCAGACGAGTCATTTTATGTGCTATTCAGCTGAATTTACAGGTAATAATTTCTCTAATCATATTCACAGATAACTCGTCTGAAGATTGATAGGAATCCATTCGCCAAAGGGTTTAGAGATTCGGGTCGTAACAGGTAGGTGTTGGGAAGGACGTGGGCTTGTTACTGCTCACAGGCTCACAGAATCACTTTGTGAAGGCTGTTCAAGGTGAATATGTGTATCTACAGACAAACTAATTTGAGAACTCAGACTCCTGGAGGGAGCACTTAGATTTCCCAGCAATGTTCTCTGTGGTGAGCTCTCATTCCTGCTCCTCTGACCATCTAGGTCAAAAACAGGCTGGCACTCGGCTTGACGCATGTACTCAAGTTTCCTTTCAGTGTAAGCAGCGACATACCATGAAGGCTGCAAATGGAATTAATGCATGCTCGGGTCTGTGATTTCAGGCTGCTCTTGAAATCTCCTCTTTCTCCTGGCTGCAGACACAAATTGCAAATACCATTGTCAAACTATAAGCCCAGGTTCTCTTGCATGTAAGTGGCATTTAGTATGGATAAATACACTTGCACAGGAGGTGGGAGACCTGTGTTCAAGTGTCTTTTTAGTCTAAGGAGTTTTAAATCCACTTCCTAGGTGAATGCCTTTCCTAGTAGGCTATAAAAGACTTTGAAATAAGGATGGTTTCCATTTCTTCTGTTGTGGATGGACTGATTAATTGCTTGTTCTCTCTCAATCTGTGAATCTTTGAAAATAGCAATGGGAAATCTGAGTAGTGCAAAGTGCAGACTTGAGTCTAGTCCGGGCTGCCAGTGCTGATGAGGTATTCTATCCAAAGACTGTTTAATGCAAACTACTTAAGCCTGCTATGAATTGTATGTTAAACCGTTTCAGCTAAAAAAGGCAGTGTTTCATTATGGTGTATATTGTACATCAGTTCCAGTGACCACATTGCATTTGGTGTCTGCAGCTGCTATATTTATGCCCTAACCCTGCAGAGAAAGGAGCAGACTGTGTGCTGGCAGGAATGATCAGAGAGTTTCTTTTCGATAGTTACTTTTATTGAGCTTCTCTGTTAGCAGAGGCTACAGCATTAAAGCCTGTTTTTTGCTTCCACCTGAGTTATATAAAAATTGAGACTGGACAGCAAACGAGTAGTTTTTAGAAGATGAATACTTACAGAAGGAGTAGGGTAGTTGTAAAGATTTACAGGAGTTCACTGTAAATATCTTTTCAGTATCTCTGAGATTTTGTCTTCTATCGAGAAACAATTTGACATGTTTTGTTCTGGGGCCTGGAAGTGGTGCCCCAGGCACTGACGTAAATAGAATTTTGCCCTCCTTTGTAGCCTTCTAGTTAGAAATTAAGTGAACAGTAACTTCCAGATAAATGCACCGACTGAAGAAGCAAAACATGCTGTGTGTACTTGGGGAAGAAAAGAGTTGCGATACGTGCCCTGTTTGAAAGCTCTCCGTGGGCAGTGTCTTTGGTATGCTTGCTTTTTGCAGAACTACTAAGGAACCTCCTAAGAAGTGTGAAATCCTGATCCTTTGAATTAGATGAGTTTAAGTGGATTTAGAATTTCTTCCATAATGTTATATAAAACAAGAGAGGATTCCCTTTAAAATAAAATGGAAAGAATTGTTCAGAAACCAGTTTTGAACAGGTTTTAATGAAGCAGGACAGCTCTGGTATTACCTGAGGACAATGTAGGTGCTGTAAGAGTTCGGTATCTGCAACCACACAGATCCAGTTGTAGGACTGGGGATATCCAGAGAGGTTTTTTAGGTTTGACTACTAGGAATAGTTTGGTTCAGGCATTAAAAAAAAAGCAGGATATTTTAATTGAAAGACAGTTATATTTTATGGAAAGGGATTAAGAAGGCCAGTCCTGATAGAAGGGCGAGCCTCTGTAAAATGTTTTGGAGCAGCCTTTAGATGAGATCTGAATGCTTTTATTGTACAAACACAGTCGTTACAGAAGTGACTGCAAATTCTTGTCCATTGCAAATTGACATTGGTTTACTGAAGTCAGTATTGCTGTTTTCTTTGATAGTCTCTGTGGTACCGAACAGGAGTGTTTGAGAATGCGGCTCAGATTTTTAATTGTCAAGGAAAATGTCTATTGGTTTACTCAACGAATGATTAATACATATTGAAATTAAATGTTAAGGTTTTGTTATCTTCATTGTTGTAGCTGGTGTGTTTATCATTAGGGTATTTCAGACAGCAACAAAAGGTTACAAAAATACTGTGGTAAAATTATATCCAGCTTTTCAATATTGCTTTAATTATTGCAGCTATCTTACTCTGCACTGCTGCATGCAATAATTAAATTGCATGTTTAATTAAAAATATTCCCTTTCAGGTCATTCCCATTCAGTCCCACAGCCCATTCCCATTCAGCCTATTTTACAGAAATCAGTAGCTTCACCTTTTAAAAGCATTCCCCATGCATTTGCAAAGTGCAACAGAATTTATGTGCTGAGAATAGTTTCATTCTTCAGTTGGGCCTTAAGTTTGACCCTATAAAAACTTTTACTCAGGAAAGGACCAGAATTTCTCCCTTTAAATACTTCAGGAAAAACATAACCGTTTTGTTAAATAAACTCGGCCATTTGATAGCGCAAATTAGGGTGGTGATAAAAAGTGGAAATTGTTCGAAGGCATCTTGTATAAATTATCGCCTTGGCTACACTCCTCCAGGAGGTGGCTTTTATCTCCACTTTTAACTAGAATTGAAAATTCACCGTTACTGCAGAAAATTAAGGCTATCTTTTTAGTCCAGGTTCAGCTAATAAATACTTTATAAATGTTTCCTGACACACATTTGTGTTCCTGCTGGAAATGCAGTGGGGAAGGAGCAGTATCAGAACCTGTTGGTTGCTTCAAATTGGGCTATTTGCATAATTCGAGTTTACAGAGTGCTACTGCTGAAAGGCAAGCACTTGTTTTTGGTGTGTGCCCGATGCTGACATTTAACAGGCCTCTGGGGCCCAGCAGCCAAAAATAACAGCAAAATTATACCTCTGAGTATTTATGCTTCTGAGGTGCATTATTCATAAATAATTGTCAGAAAACAAATGGGCCTTTACCTTCAGAAACAGAGATTCTTATAAATAGTGTCTGCCAGCACTATCTACCCAGTTATTTCAATTTTCTCATTACATTGTTGAAAGAAAATCGCTGAAGATTTTTGGTTTGTAAGGGCATTTCGCTCAGCACGTAATAACTGAGACACAACATTGCTTTATACATTTTAGTGGCAAAAGAGCTGTACACCCATGCCTTGCTCATGTTCTAAGTGTAATCTTCTAGCTCATCAGTAATGAACGGAATCCTATTTTAATAGAAGTTGTCAGTGGATCACCTTTGTTCTAGGCAGAAATAGAACATCCCTCTGGCAGTTAGAGGCAGAGGAATGATCTCTTAAGGAAATATCATACTAGGAAAACATTTTAACATTTAGCCAAGGCTCCCCACTCAAATAGCCCTCTCAAGAGGCCCAAAATATTGAAATAGAGAGCCAGACTTACGGAATTGGAAAACTCTGTCTGCTGCAAGCCCAGTGGTAGCAGATCTCAGTGATCTCATGGATAGGATATAAGGCTCTTTTCTACAAAGCAAAATCAACTTCAAAATTATCCTGAAATGTTACTAGTTTTTATGTGTTTCTGAGGTAGAGTATCCAGAGATATGTGACAAAATACAGCTTGCTTTCATGCCACCTTGGTTCTTTTGTTCTAAATAGAATGGGGCTGGAAGCTCTGGTAGAGTCCTATGCCTTCTGGAGACCTTCACTGAGGACGCTTACATTTGAAGATATACCTGGGATACCCAAACAAGGTAATGGCTGTCTTTGTGTTCTTTCAAAAGAAAAATGCATGAAGATAAAGCTTTGCCCATCATACTTTAGGAAAGTCTGTGTCTGCTTGTAGAGAAAAAACAACCAACTAACCCCAGTGCAGGCTATCACCTCTCATCAGAGTTATTCTAAACTGAGAAGGTGATGCTAATTCAATCACTCTGGCAAGAAAAATGTTAGATTGTAAAGATAAATCAGATCACATGTGGAGGAGAATTCCAGTTTAAAAGTTTAAATTATTCGGTTTAAAGATTGAATAGCCTATTCCTTAGAGCTATGCACTGGCTACATACAAAAGGTAGAGATCATTTATAGATGACATCTATTGTACACATCCAAACTCCAATGCAGGAATTTCTTGTGTTTTTAAGAGAAAAAAAAAGGGAATGAGAGAATAAATGTCCTCTTAAGTAGTGAGTAAATAGTGGCAAGCTTAACTGGGTTTCTTCTTGGAATGCCTTCTTGATTCTTAAAGACCTAAAAATTTTTCAGTAAATGTGCCAACAAACTTTATCGGCATTCTAGAGCTTGAAAAAATGGATCTCTCTGTTTTGTTTTTTCTTGCTCTTCAGCCTTGGTTGGAAACCTCTTGGTTTCCACTTTCCCCGTCATACGGGTAGTGCCATGAATTAAATAAATAGCCTTTAAATGACCTTTTTGGATAGAGAGTAGAATCTTTGTACTCTTTTCTGAATTCTTTTATTTCCAGAGAACCCCAGTGCAAATATTAAACTTCTCATCTTTTTCCCAACAAAATCAGACATATTGCTCCTGATTCTTCGCATTTCCTGCTGCCAAATTTACAAACATCCAGTCTACTTTCTTGATAATGTATTGCAAAGTTGTTAAACATCTTAAGAGTAAAAATCCAGAAAATACAGAAAGTCAGAGAAATAACTTTTATCAGCTTCTTAACTCATTCCTTTGAGAAATCCTGAGCATCAGTGTTTGATGTGGGCAACTCAAAAGGAGGTTTTGGGCCAAGTCACAGATACATTGGCTGAGTGTTGGCAGAGTTTTGAGTGGAGCACAGGGGTGAGGGACGCTCTCATAAAAAAGGCCTGTAACGAGAAGTTAGCATCAAACCTGAAATGCCTTGTCAGACTGTAAGACTGAAAGGCAGCTCACTATGCAGTTAATCCATTTAGGAGACAGACCAGCTTTATTGCCCTGTTTGTATGTAGGAGCATTGTTTGAGAGCAGGGGAACTGCTGCCATGAACTTCTCGCTTCCTGTTCTGCTGTTGCCTGGGGTTAAGGAGCTTGTTGAAGTTACTGTTGATATTCTGAGGATAGAAACTGGGATCCTTGCAAAGTCTTTAGTCATCTATACCTTAGACGTTAGGGTGGTTTAGAGACTTTCTGAAAGACCCCATTAGAAATTTGCCTGGCTTATTAATGCTGAAAGTACCTGTCATCAGGTAGCAGAGGCATTGGCATAGATTGGAAGAAAAAATATGTCTTATACTAGGATTTATGGAATGTGGCAGTGTCTAATGATGCTTTGATCTTGTGGTGTCCTGTTAACAGAGCAAAAAGCAGCAGGCGTTGTTCACTAATAACGTATGTTTCTTTTTACTAGCTCACCTATCATGATAACCTGTCAACATATTGACAACATATATCTCTTTGCAGCATCCAGCCTTTTGATTGTTAACATGATTCACAAATGGGAGAGTCTGCCATGTTAAGAGTCTTCTGCCTGGGAGACTGTGAAAGGCTCAAATTAATTTTTCTACAGTCAGTTTTCACGGAGATACAATCTCTTTAAGAAAGGAAGTGTTTCTTGCAGCTGGGAAACTTTCAGTCCTGAGAAAAGGTTTCACCTGTAGCAGTGTGTTTTCAGGAACATTCAGCACTGGTATTTGTAATATAAAAAGTTCTTATATCAGTAAATAGACAATTTGCAAACAGTTTGCTGCAGTCCTGCCTGTTCAAGAAGTGAAGCAGCTGTGTGCAGTATTCAGCCTACACTCTTTCGGAAGTTGTTCTGAAGTTTCGTTCTCAGATTTTTTTGGTTTGAAGTTGGAATTTTTTTGTTCTGAAGTTAGTAGCTTTCCTGAAGCTGTTAACTATGGGAGCCTCTATCATCTGAGCTAAGCAGCTGGTTCCTCAGCTGGTGCTCTGATAGTGACAGTCAGGCACAGAGTGCTTGAAACACACTCCAGACTGTAGTGAGAACACAGACACATCAAAAATCATCATTTTGAAGAAGGCTTCCTGTGATGTGGTACTCACTTGGCTACATCTTAACTGCCGTGCAATTTCCTTCCAGTGTCATATAAGGAGCAGTTAATCTTTTGGGCAGGAGCTCTAAATATTGAGTGACAGTTGTAAAAATGTAACTTCAGTTCTCTTTCTTGGTCAAGTTGTTTGTTTAGAAATATGCATGTGGTTTACTCACACACCCTCCTGCACATATATGTAAAAGATTTTTTTTAATTAGTTTGAGTTGTGTTTCATGTCAAGGGTTATTATAAAAGCCAAAGGTCTTGTTCTGTCACCTAGGAAGTGAACTTCCCCAACGCGCTTCTTACGCTGTAACATTCTCTTCCAGGAAATGCAGGTTCCTCTACTTTACTCCAGGGATCTGGCAGTGGAGTGCCATCTACCCACCCTCACCTTTTACCGGGTTCCCCTTGCTCATCTCCAGCCTTCCACCTCAATCCCAACACTAGCCAGCTGTGTACCCTTGCTCCAGCTGACTACACAGCTTGTGCCCGCTCAGGCTTGACCCTGAACAGATACAGCACTTCCTTGGCTGAAACCTACAACAGGCTCACAAACCAAACCAGTGAGACGTTTGCACCCCCGAGGACTCCCTCCTATGTCGGTGTGTCGAGTAGCACAACTGTGAATATGTCTATGAGTGGCAATGATGGGGATGCATTCAGCTGCCCACAGACTGGCTTATCTATGCAGATTTCAGGGATGTCTCCACAGCTCCAGTACATCATGCCATCCCCATCCAGCAATGCCTTTACCACTAATCAAACCCACCAAGGCTCCTACAACACGTTTAGACTGCACAGTCCCTGTGCGCTCTATGGATATAACTTTTCCACATCTCCTAAACTGGCTGCCAGTCCTGAGAAAATCGTTTCTTCCCAAGGAAGTTTCTTGGGGTCCTCGCCAAGTGGAACCATGACGGATCGGCAGATGTTGCCCCCTGTGGAAGGAGTGCACTTACTTAGCAGTGGGGGGCAGCAAAATTTCTTTGACTCTAGGACCCTAGGAAGCTTGACACTCTCGTCTTCTCAAGTGTCTGCACATATGGTTTGATGAAGCCTTTAAGTAAAAGTACAGTATGTTTGGTGTCTACAATGTATTTCTTTTGGAATATGAAGGGACACTCGATGTAGCTTGTAAAGTGCGTGTATATATATATAATATGAGAGGAAGTTTTAGTGAAATTTTGACTTGCTTGTGGCCAGATTATTTTCCTATTTTGAGTTACACAGAATTTGCTCTGTTGCAGACTGCTTTAGTTTTCTGGTATAATACACTTAGTTGTATAACACATTGGGACATATGCAACAAATTAAGCAAGACTTCCTCCCCTTTCCCCCTCCTCTGTTCCAGCGCCTTTAAAGAACGAAATGACACTTGGAGTATTAAACAACACAAACAAGCCCACTTGCCCATTTCCTATAGCACTAGTGAGTTTCTTTAAAACATTCATACAATGATAAGCTGATGCACCAAAGGCATTTTACAAGTTTCTTCTCTGTTATAAGGGATACAAAGGATATTTGGACTTGTAAGTGTTGAGCATGAAGCATCTAGCCTAAAATAGAAGTTTAGCTAATGGATTATTTACAAAGTAAATCGAAAGATTAGTTTGCCTTCTCATGATACATTGTTTTTAGTTTATCAACAGCACAGCATTCTCACTAGGATTTTTTTTTTTCAGCATTAGTCTAGATTTATGGTTAGATATTTGAAGACTAAGAATGTGTATTCAAATTGTGGTGATAGAAATAATTTAAACCAACAGCACTAGAAGCAGCATTCCTTAGTACGGAATGAAGTTCAGGTTGCTTAGTTTTTGTCAAAGGAAGGGCTTGATGCATTTTTTCCTCCATAAATATTGCCTATAAGACATTTACTGGACAGTAGGATATTCTAAAGTATCTTTGTTTCTGTATTTTTACTTTTTTTAAAGGAAAATGCAGGTTCGATTTAGAAAAAAGAAGTGAGCAGAATGAGAAATTCCATTATTGGTTTTACCTGTTTTGTTTGTGTATTTGTTGTGTTTTGGATTTGGTTTGGTGTTTTTTGGGGTTTGTTTGTTTGTTTGTTTGTTTTTAGTAAGGGCAAAAGTATCTCAGTATCTGAAAAATACATCACCTGTATCAGTTAGGCAGATGACCCAGTTTGCCCACAAGTGTTTCTGGAAGCAGAACATTGTCATAGCTGACTTCCTGTTGCTTTATTTCTGTCAGCGTTTGTCCTGGAATTGGAGAGGCTTCCTTCATTCCCACCTCTGGTTTTTAAATGGCACTTGTAAGAACATAGATCACAATCTGCTCCTGACCACACTTCTCCAGAGTGACAAGGACACAGGGAAACACTTGTCATGGTGAAATTTCTGCCCTCATCTGCACCTGCACAGCACAGGTGTGTATCAGTCCTTCTGCAAAAGCTGCCTCTCAGCTGCCCTTCTGTCAGAGTTTAACCACAGAGATTGTAGAACTAATTTTAATGCTTGAGAGGACAGGTCATCTTCAACGGTATGCTAAGCCTCATTTATATTGTGCAGGTGATACAAAGGCGTTATAAGGTGGGTACAAATATAGATGAAAATGTTTCCCCAGTAAGCATTGAAGAAGATTAAGGCCTTTCAAGTTTTACGCTGGATTTTTTTTGTGAAAGTGGATTTTCATGTTTCTCAAGTGTTCCTATGTCTTTTCTAGCAAATAGTGCACTTAACCACTCCCACTTCAAGAAGGACTCATTTCAGCTTGCATTTCATTAGTGGGATGGAGATAATGCAGGCAGAAACAGCCCTCTTGCTATCTCCTCTTATTATGTGGGAATAGAAGAGAAACCACAACTATCTTGAAGCCTGTGCCTGCAGAATGCTTTATTTTTATTGCTTGCGTATTTGTTTCTGTTAAAGAAGATACATATAAAGTTCTCATTCAAAGTTAGAAAGACAAGAGGATGCAATTGAGGAGATGTGGGTTTGCTTCTTTGCTGTTTCAAACTTCCTAAGTGACCTTGAGCAGTTCACTCAGTCTCTCTATATCAGACTTTTTTTCTTCTGTAAAATGTGATAATAGCACTTCATGCCTCGTAGAAAAGGGTGACAGTATATTGAAGATGAAGATCATCTTTACATCTTCTGTGCTGTGGACAGTACGTTACAGATGAATGGCTAGGAAGTGTTCATATACAAGGATAAGAAAGAGCATTTGTGTACTTCAGGTCTGATGCTGGTTTTGGCATTGCAGTGTCCTTGAGGCAGATCTTAAAGAAAAGACCTGCAATGCTGAAAATGCTATTCAAACTCACACTAATGATTTTTGAAATGGTTCTAAGATGTGTACAAGATGGGCAAGTTTTCTGTTATGTAAATTGTCATAGCTTTATTGGTTTAAATTAACAAGTAACTTGTGTATAGTAATTCTTGCTCCAGCCAAAACTTTGAAATTTTGTAGTTGGACAAATCTTTAAATGGCAAAGATGGTACAATTAATCTGTACTTGAAAAAGGGTAATTACCCATGTTATCTTAAGGGCTTTGACAAGGTAGAAATGTGGAAAAGCTAAATCATGCATGTTCTTACGAGGAGAAAAAAAGGGTTGTGCATGGATGTTCATGGAGGTGCTCCTGACATGACTTTATCATCTGGGAATTTTTTAGAACTGGTCTCTTATTTTTCCTCAAATTACTTTTATCATATAACCACACAATATTGTTTCATTTGTTCCTTAAAATTTGAATCATATTGTAAATACTGGTGTGTCATTGTGAAAAGACTAGCTTTTTATCAATACAGTAAATGCTATATATGCATTATATCTATAATTATATATCTGTATTTTACAAAAATGCCACAGAAAATATATTAAAGTGTGTATTCAAACACTTTTTACTACATTTGGAAAACTGAGAGGCTTGGGCCTTTTTTTTCTCTACAACTTCTGCAAGAACAAAGGAAGTGACTGAGGTAAGCTCTGGGTTTCAGAGACTTAATACAACAAGCTGCAGCTAGTCCACAATTCTTACATGGTTCAGTTTAACCATCTGCCATTGAATCTCTCTATTATTTGTACGCAAAGATTCCAACAGATGTTGTGTACAAGGAGATACTGAGGCTGATAGCAGAGCTCTGAGGGTTTTACATGAGAAAATGGGACTGAGCTGCTTGCCGGGCTCTTTAGCCAGTGATGGAACTTGGTTGCTTCCTTGTACCCCATGGCATCCCATCTGCTAGGACCAATTCAGCTGCTCCCTATCAACTGGATCTGGGAAGTTGGCACTTCCATGCGACTTGAGCAGAAGCTTGGTACTCTGCCTGTTTTCTCTCTCTGCTGTTTCTTTGGTCATTTGCTCTCTGTTCTGCTAGTTCTAAATGCAGAAATCGATTGATTTGACAATTTGCAACCTATAATCATCTGACTGTACTGTTACTCAGCAGTGAGCAACATTTCTTCGTCAAGAAATACTGTTATGCGTAGTGGCCTTATTTCCTATTGTACTGCAATAAATGATTCTCTGTGACATAGGGCAGAGGGCCTGAAAATCTGATTACTTCAGAGACTCTGGTTTCATAGTCACTTAACACCAGCATTGTTGCAAACGACCAGAATTAGGGCAAGAGAAGTAGGCATGAAATGCTTGATCATAAATATCAGACCTCCAGAGAGAATGAAAGCTTCTGTTTTTAATAAGAGAAGAGCCTTTTTTTTTTTTTTTTGAATAGCACAGTCAGATTCTGAGAGGGCTCATTTCTGCTGCAGCAGTAGGCATCAGGAGAAAGCTGAAAATCATGGATATTGTTGTCTTTAATAGTAGTAAGCCAGTACTGTGAGCAGTTCAGCAGAAGAAATATAAATCATCATCAGAAGTAGCTCACAGATTCTATGGATATATTTTACCTGTAAAGATAATATACCTAGTCAATCTGTACCTAGGTATGTTTAAAAAGTTTGCAGTTTATCTAATTACCTAATGAGTTAATGGTTTTTGTGAGCTGACTTTGCACTTCAGGTGACAAAATATATTAACTTGTCAGTTGAGCTCTTCATTAATGTGAACCTCAGATTCAATGTTTCACCTTGTACTTAACACAAAGTTGTTGATATGTCAATTTAATATATGCAAAAATACAGGAGAGTTCTTGTTCTGCCTTGTGTTCCACCATATTCCTCAGCTACCCAGTTAATTCAAAACACTGGCATGCCAAGATGACACACACTTTTAAGAGGTGATGCCTTGCTTCATTAGAAAATAACACTTCTAGAGAATTAAACTTTGCTTTTAGTCAGTGTTGTTATCTTCAAGCTCTGAAAAGGTGTTTGTTACCCAAAAAAGCATAAGTCCTATGCAGTCACCACTTATTCTTGCAAAGTAATGTTGAATTGGCCATAAAACTATCTCAGATAGTTTGGTGCCCAATGCCCAGACAGAGCAGTTCCAGCAAATTTTAGAATTTGAACTCCATAAAGTAAATGTTTTTAAGAAGCCTCAGTAAATCAGATCAGCACTGCTATCAGGAAGACTAAAACTACTGTGGGCAAATAGAAACACTTTCCTGAATTTTATCTGTCACCTTCAGAGGTTTATTACCCTAAATAGTTAATATCCAACATGTTCCACTCCATCAGAATGAGCATTAAACCTCCATGAGCTGGATGAATTTCCACATTTTTCCATTGTGGCCTTTCTAAATGTTTGCAGTAACAACCAGGTTTCAAGACAAGCACCAGTGCTCCAGGTTTGCAGCGGGGAATGGCAGGAGAAGTGCAGATAGCCCAAATAGACCCTGCAGTCCCACCGTACACTTTTGGAATGTCACAGGTGCTGTGATGGCACCCACAACGTATAGTTCTATCCAAACATAATTCAGTGCACCTCTCACAAGGGTAATTACCTATGTTAGGGGGCTAAAGCCTAAAATAAGACCTGACGTCAAAGACTGGTCAGGAAGGATAAAGCATGATGCGAAAATACTTGTACTACCCAAAAGCTGGTCTATGGCAGTGAATGTTAAGTGTAGGCCCAGCACAGACTTGGCCTTTGTCAGTACTGCAGCCACTTTGACTATGCTGCACGCTTATGTTCATTTGCACACCACTGGATTTTATTTGGATGCT